CCTTTTTCCTTTGATTTTCTTTTATTGTCTTTTGATTATCATATTAATCAGAGTGACTAATACTTTCAAATTTATTTGTCTTTACCATCTTTTTCTCAACGTATAAATAGTTCTTCTGGCTCTATTCACTCCACTCTGAATCACTTCATAGTCTTCCTAGGTTTCTCTGAAATGTCTTCATTTCTTATGTTATAATAGTCTACCACCACATTTATAAGTCACAATTTCTCCATTCATTCTCTAAATTACAAAACTGCCTTAGATTCCCATTCTTTGTTGTCGTGTTTAGGACTGATCTCTCCTTTAGTCTACCATCTTTAAATTCTCCCATGTCCTTTCTCCTCTTTCTTATTTCTGTGTTGGTGAATTAGGGTGATGTCTACCTCACAAGCACGTGAAGATTTCCCTCAATAGAATGGGTGGTTAAGAACAATTTGTTCCAATGGCCATGAAGGTGATTGAACAGGTACTGTGAAGCACTTAGAGCCTTCTCAGATGTTGGAAATGGCTCAGGATGCATTGGACCTTCGTATCTTCGGCATCTTAAGTTCTGTCTTGCCACAGGACTTCAATGACTCCCCGAAAGAGTGAACCTGTTGACTCTGTGCAACTCTGCCTCACTTAAGTCCAATTCATTCAGGAGTCAAGACATTGCCCCATGATATCATTGGTCCTCTTCAAAAAGGAAGGAGAAAACAACAATTTCCTTGTTGAATTAAATGTCTTTACTCAAATCTGTGAAAATGCTTCTTTTGACTAGTACAGATGGACAAAGTTGAAGTATCAACTACTAAGCCCACCCTTCCTTGTTTGTATATGTATACTTGTGCACCTTCCTTTCCCTTTTGCCTCCCTTTCTGTCTTCCCCTGCCCAGGATGTTTTCATCTTTCTCTTTCTATCTAAACTACCTCTGTGACTCCAGATGATGATAGTGGTTAGATGGGATACATTATAATCTCCATGTAGTTAATCCTGTTTCATCCATTATCATTGATTCTTCATTCTTGTCTTTTTATGTTTCTATTTATTAAATCAGGAATGCTAGGAAGTCTTGTATTTCATTAAAGGTCCATTCCCCTTCTCCTTTCCCTCATGTGATTTATACTAAATTTTACTAAGTAAAGTTATTCTTAGCTATGCACCCATTATCCTTTGCCTTCTGAAATATTACTTTCCAAGTGCTGCATTCCTTTATAATACTGGTATCTAAATCATGTATGTTTCTGACTGTGAGATCTCCATACTTGAATTCTTTCTGACTATTTGAGGCATGTTTTCTTTCATCCTAGGAGTTCTGGATTTAGATTATTAACGTTTTTGGGAATTCTTGTTTGGGGGTTTCCTTCAGGAAGTTACCAACAGAACCCTTCTATTTCTCCTTTGCCCTGTGGTTGTTTAAAAAAAATCTGGAGAGTATTCTTCTAAGATTTCTTGAAATACAATACTTAGGCTTCTTTTTGTTCATAAGGTTCAATGACATTTTTTCCTCCTTAATCTGTTTTCCAGATTTTTTTTTCCCAATGAAATACCTTATATTTCTCCCCCCTCCCCCATTCTTTTGGCTTTGTTGGAATATTTTTTGTTCTCCAATGGAGTCACTGCCTTTTCTTTGGTACAATCTAATTTTTAGATTTTGTTGCTTGGACAAGGTTTTGTACTTCCTACGCCATGCTTTTAATCCCTTTTCTTATTCTTTCTTCTATAGCTGTCACCGCTTTTCCATTTTACTTTTGGTGCTCTCATTGAATTGTTTTAAAATGTTTGAAAAATTTTTAAATTCTTGTTTTACATTTTTCTGGGAATTCTATTTGAATTTGTGCCTAAGTTGTGCTTTTCTTGAAGGCTTTGCTTGAAGATGTTGTAGTGTTGTTCTCTTCTACTGAGTTTGTTTTGAGCAACCCTGCCACCACAATAGTTCCTTATAATGGTATTCTTTTGTTTGTTCATTCTTTAAGGGTACTTCTGACTTCTGGCTTGATATTAGGGTTGGGTTCTGTGCTGTTCTGGAAGGAAGGTCTGTGTTGGTCCTATTCCTGCTTTTTTGAAGAACTGGGTGTTGTGATATTCCAAGATCTCAGGGGCAGCTCAGGCTGAAGATCTGCAAGTTTTCAATGTTCCCAAAGTGGTCTGGTATAGGGCACAATCTGATTATTTCCTGCAGGTCTAAGCTCTCCAAGTTTTGAGCAGGATTTGGGTTTGAAAGTAAACTGATTTCTGGCTCAGCCATTATCAACCAGTTGGGAAATTCTTCTGGTTCAGTGATAGAAATAAAGGTTCTCCTTTGATTTGGGATTCCTTTTCTGGTTATCCACTGCAGGCTTCAATCTGAGCTACAAGTTGGGACTGGAATCCTGAGATAAATACTGTAAGTATGTAAATATTATCAATTGTTGTTCTCTGTCTCTCTATGCTGACCTGAGCTAGAACAGTGGCTTTTTCTTGGATTTTGCCATCAGGATTTGGTCTGGTACCTGTTCTAGATGTTTGGAGTTGGGTTTGGTTTTTTGGGTGGGGGAGGAAGGGGGAGAAGCTTGCTTTACTTCTTGCTATTTTTTCATCTTGACTTCACTTCCTTCTCTTTTGCTTTATAATTTTCATCTATTGCTCCAAGTTCAGATCAAGGTGGATATATCTAATTCCTCTTTAGCCAGATAGCTCTTCAAATATTTGATTATTATCATGTAATAAAAAAAGAAAAGTTAACATCCACTGTCTTCACCAACAAGGTTGAACTTAGGACAGATTTCTTGTTGCCAATGACTTTCTTTAAATTGACACCCAGAACTGAACAAAATTTTCTATATGTGGTCTGACAAGGCCAAAATACTATGGAAATAGTATGTTCCTCATGCTGGGTGCTGTACTTCTTACAATGTTCATTCTTTATTCTCCTTTACCTCTTGAAGACTAACACTATTAATTGCCCCTTCCTAGCAATACAGTTTCTTTGCTCTTTCCTTTCTTTCTGTGACATTGCCTTTTTGGTACATTTACTGATATCCTCTGTTAGTTCATATACTTCCATCTACCCAAATGTGGCAAAATGCTTCATGTGAAGCATTAAGTTTTGTGTTTTGTTTTAAAGTTATCATGTTTAATAAAATAACTTTGGAAATAATGTACATATTCATTGCTATGAATGAAAAACCCTGAGATATAGAATTTCTGGTTAATTAACAACAATTTATTAATTAGACTAGCTAATAATCAATAAATGATGATCAGTTGTTTCTCTCTAACCAAAGACCCTTAATGGAGATTCTGAAAGCCCTAAATCCCTTCTGAAAGGGAATCCCTTAATAAGTGAAAATCAACTGCAAAAGTCTTCAGCTTCTCCTACTGAAAATGTGGTTTGAACATGAAACTCAGCTGCTTCCAGCTATCTGGTCAGGACCTTGCTGGCTGGTTTTCTCCTTCGTTAGCTGGGTCACTCTAAATTCTAATGGAGGGATACAAGAACAGGAGCTCTTTTCCCCAGGGTAAGAACTCATTCAGACTGGATTTTGTTTATACTCTAAATAGAAGTCTCCTAGTTGGGAGTGGGGGGTGTGGGAAACAAGATCAAGAAACCAACCATCAAACAAAGAGGCCCATAGCTTCAGACAAGGCAAATCCCAGGATAACATAGGAGAGCAGCTGCTGCTTCAACAAAGAGCTTCTGGCACAACCAATAATGAGACTACCAAGAACAGTTTCAAAATCAGTCACTCCTACTGAGGCAGTGTCATAATTTGTTGATCACAATGGTCTGGAACTCCCAAGGTACTTGGGTGAGAAACCCTATTCTGAGCCCCATTAGATACTACATTACCCTCTCCAGGCTTCTCTGGTCAAGACAACATTGGGCAGACTGGATCTAGCACGGATCAGGAAAGATGGATACAAAAGAAGAGCTCAGATGACAGAAGGTAAGAACTCATTATAGCTTTCTTGGGCAGCTGCAGTAGAAGTCAAATGGAGTGGGGGAGAAGCATTAGTTTTGATCTACTTGGACTCAAATGGAAGAAGTAGGATTAGAAAGCAGAAGTTGAAATTAGTTTTTATGAAAGAAAATAAAAATTAGAATTTCTAAAAGATGAGTTGCTTTGTGAGAATTTCTCATTGAGAATTTGCAAGTGGTGAGCAAATGAATAATTGTCAAATATCACTGAAGCAAACTAGTATTTAGTCAGGGCTTGTTTGTGATGACCTGTGAAATCCCATTCAATTCTGGTTTCCAGTTACTGAGTAAAACGTAGCTAATAATAAACTTTAATTTGTAAAAGAGTTCTGAAATAGTATGGGAATTGGTATTGTTATTTTCCTGAAGAACAAATTAAGGATAAAAAAGTTTCAATGACTTTATTATAGGATAAAATGTACCCATTAACTAACCCAAAAGAGTAGTACCCATGCTGGCAACATTTAACATATGACACACAGATTAGTTTGGGTAATCAAAAACTTAAGCAATAAAAACACTGTATTTTAATCACTTTTTATTTAAACATGTTTAAAGATTAATAACTACAAGCCTAAACAACATTTTGAAAAATAAAATACATTGCTGTATTTGAGTTTTTAACTTCCAGTCTCCACACAGATGTGTGGAATGACTGAAAGTTTCTCATATGAAATGGAAGCTATGCCCCCAAATTTAGTTAAGGCTTTAGTATTAGCCGGGGCTAAGTTTTGTTTTCCTGTAAATCATGTGATCATGTCATACACCTGTTGTACACCCCCTCACTTGTTTGGTAACCATCACCCCAGCCTTATCTTTGCCAAATAAGGCAATCTTCTAGCTTCCAAGCTTGTTTTGGGTAAAGTGTATCTCTTAGTTTCTGGGTAGAATGTAAGGTCTCTTACCTCAACCAATCGGGATAAAGAGATTCAGGTTAAAAGGTGGGAGGGTGGGGTTTTCTTAGAACTGTTTTGTCGAGGGGTGTATAACTGCTTGCTTGCTGCTTGTATTCTGCCTCCCCACTCCAATCCGCCCTCGTTGGTGATGCCCAATTCTCGCGCGAGACTTGCAAGAATAAAACTTCTGTTTCTACCGAGAGAAACCTCTGAATTTTATTTTGGGTAGGTGGTCTCTATCCCACACACAGACATGCAATTCTAGTTCTTATGTATATTTGAAAAAACTGAGAAGTGAAATAATTCCTAAAGCACTTAAAGTTTTGTAGGGAATTTAAAAAAATATCTAACAGAAATGAAGCTTAATTTTTCAAAGGTATATGAGTTTTTGCATGACAGACTAAAGTTTTACTACATAATTGAATTAAAACACATAAAAGAAAAACTATGATTAATGGCTTTAAAATAAACAAATCATTTAAAGTGTGTTTAACAAGCAATCAGTCTTTTAAGGCCCCTATAACCAGATAACATATAAAACAAATATAAGTGGCATCTCAAACAAATATAATAGGTTTTCCTGCAAGTTTTCAGTAAAGTTGGAAGTTTTATTCAATTCATATATTCTCTAACACTTTGGGAGGGGAAGACAGATTATCTAAAGTTTTCAATTCTTGCTTCATTCTTTCACATTTCCAATTAATTTAACATTTCTTATGTGTTAAACCTCAACCTCAAAAAAAGCTTAAAATTTGAAAACTCATTTCAACAAATAGGATCATTTAATTGTCTTGTATTTTTTTCTGTTGAACTTTTTTATATGCTAATAATCTTCACTTCATTAACCAATAAAAAAACAACAAAAATTATCACAAGAAAAATTGAGAGGTATTTATGAAAGATATTCAAAAGAAGAAATTTTAATACTAACATTTTAAATTAAATACTTTGGAGGGGAGAAATAGAAGATAAAAAACTGTAATGAGGAAACAAACCTTGCTTTGAATACTTTAAATACTTTTTAACTACTTCAAATACTTTAAAACTTTCAATTTGTGGTCAAATCCTGCACCACAGGATCATGCAAAAAATAAGGAATCAATTAACTGAGAGTAAACTTTTAAAATTTAACTTAAAGGTGGCTGTGGAAGAAAATTGCAAACCACTTCAAGATGATTAATCATTCCTAAATTTCTCATCTATGTATGCAACTTAGTCAAACATCAGTTATGATTTGAGGTAAATCAACATGAAATTACTTCTTCCTTTTTAATTTCAAGAACTATTAGAAAACAAAATTATCTGTTATTATCAGCTTACATTAGATATGATAAACATAAATACAGAAACTTTTTTTTTTACTAATTTGATTGTTTTCAGGGTGGTTTCATAGTGAAAATAAACAGTTGACAAAATTTAGAGGAAATAGTATAGATGCTGTGTTATTATTCTTGAATAAGTTTTCAATGAAAAGTATTTGAAATCTCTTCTCAATTTAGCATATACAACAAAAATGTAGCCAATATTAATCTCAAATTTCCAAATAAAGTGAATTACAAAAAATCTAAATAGAATATAGAGCATGACATTTATAGGGAACAAAGAATTAAGACATATGATTTCCATTAAGCTAGTGTCAATTTTATAACACATTCAACATTTTAAAGGAAAATTGCATTGATTTCCTCTGAGAGGCTTTTGGATTCTTGCTTCTTTTTAGTTGGGGTTCCATACCATGAACAACTGGCTGATACATTCCTTTCACATCAATATGCTTGTAAGCAGAAGAATTTATGACTAGATTTGGAGGTGCTGGTAGCTGAAGGCGATGAGTTGAAGCTTCTTCTTGATTTAATATTTCTTAACTATATCATTGTAGTAGCTTTCTATCCATTTGTATCCGCTGGGCACAGCTTATAAACTGTGAAAGAAAAATTCAAGTTATTGACCCTATAGAATGGAAAGAATTTTGGATCTGGATTTAGAGAAGCTAAATTTTGAATCCTTGCTTTCTCATTTACTACTTCCCAGTTATATCCTCCCTATAAGTACAGTTCCTTCCAACTATAAATCTTATTATTTTTGTTTGAAAGTGAAATAAATGAAATAAGTTTATTACAGTATCGCATTTAAAATGACTCATCTCACGAACTGGCATTACAAATAAAGAATTTAAGATCCAGAAAGTAACATAATTTTCTTAAAATTTTAGATGATACATACAAAGCATAATATTTATATAATAACAGGTATGTTAGCAGAATAGACATAATCCAATAGTAATATAACATACAATATTATACATCATGTGCATATAGGTATGTATAACCCTAAATTTATACATAGAAATCAATCTATCATCTATCTAGCTATATCCAGCTAGCCAATCTATCTACATATATTTTTCAAAACAAATTGTTTCAGCTTAAGGATCAAGAGTCAGAAATTGAGTTGTCAGTAGTTAAGCATCTTCAAGAATATTTTCCAAAATAATCTTTTGTTTCCCTGCTTTAAAAAAAAAGTCATGACTATGCAACTATTGTCCTCATTTATTTTGAAATTTCTAAATGAGGAGCTTGGTGAAGTCTATAGAAATGTAAAAATAAATTTACCATTTGCTGTCTTATTGATACATCATTGTGGATGGCTTCTCTGTTTAGCATCTCGTTCCTGGCCGGCTTGCTTACTTAATGCCAAGGAATAAACTTGAGCTTCTGTCATTTGTGTATTTTCTTTCCACTAAAGCAAAATACAACAAAACACCAACTCTTAAATTGAATTTATTTGTTACAAACCAATGTGCCACACTTAGGAATACAAAGTAAACCCTGTAAACTCTTGAGGATCCTTATTCCTACTCCTGCTTTAAGAAGACTTTAGATATCAGTAAACAATCATTTATTAAGTAATTACTAAGTGTCAGGCACTACATGACTGCAATTACAAGTAGACAGACAGTCTGTACCCTAAAGGAGTTCACATTCTCATGTAAGAAATAAACATATTAAAAGAAGCTGAAAAGAAAGCAGAGGAGGTAGGGAGGACAAAAATGAGGTAAAAGATGGAAGAGGCCTGAGTGCAGTTGGAGAAAAATGAAAAAGTGACTGGACCAAGGGAAGCAGGGGCTAAGAATACTTCTGAAGTGTGAATTCTAGGGCTGAAGTGCTCTTCGGATGAAGAGTTTTCTGGAGCTGGAGTAAGAAATGAAGAGATATTTGGACTGGGATCCATCCTTAAAAGGAGATTCAAGAGAAGTCATCCAATCAGAAAGGTACATCTCTTCCTTAAGGTTTTAAGGCTGTTTTAGAGGAGTTAAGTAATTTTCTAATGCCAGGAGTTTGTCCCAATTAGTGTGCTTTTCTACAAAATTATCATTTGAGAATCATTTTAGTTGGCCAATCTTAAGCAACTTTTAGAAAATGGTATTTAGGGGACACCTAGGTGGTGCAATGGATAGAGCTCCAGCCCTGGAGTCAGGAGGACCTGAGTTCAAATCCAGCCCCAGACACTTGAGAATTACTAGCTGTGTGACCCTGGGCAAGTCTCTTAACCCCATTGCCTCACTCTCTGTCTCTCTATCACACACACACACACACACACACACACACACACACACACACACAGAAACCAATAAGAAACTATAGTCAGAGGCTTCTTTCACACAAGAACTAAAGAGGAGTTCAGCCTGAGGGCAAGAAGAAAGAGACTACAAGGAGAAAATGGACTAGGGAGAATATGATATTTCTCATAACTGGAATGAGTACATAAACATGAAGTAAAAGGTCTGAAGTGTAAGCGTTAGTTAAAATACCATCTCAAGTGGACAGTTTGGTATGTAAATAAACTCCAAAGAGAAACAAACAAGAATGGGTAATGGAGAGTGTTAAGAGGAAGGTTAATACAAAGAACAAAACGAAACAAAACAAAACATACTAAAACTTCCTAAGCCTAAATCAAGGGATCAAAAAAAGGAGAAAAAGAAAATAACTAGTGTCTATCCCAAAGTCTCTGCCTCCTAACACAATTGAGAAATGGCTGAATAAATAGTGGCATATAAATGCATATAAATATAAATGTAAGTGGTATATAAATGCAAAAGACATCATTTCAGAGAATCCTGAGTAGTATGAAATGAAGTGAGGAGAATAATGCATCTAATAACAACATCATAAAGTATAACTAAAGCAACATTGAAATAGTTAAGAATTCTAGAGTCTTTCTGAGAGAGAAACCTAAAATGTCATAAGAAATGAAATGAAGACATTTTAAAATGATGTGTAGATTTCATAAAGGTGAAAATAAAATTACAGACAATGTAAAAAAGCAGAGCAATAAGCACAGAAAAAGGCTTAAATGATAAGTCTATGAGACAAATCAAGATGTAGAAATACAATTTAGAAAAAAAGATTTTTAAGCTTGGGATTTCAATAAGTCATTCCAAAAAGCCTTCCATAATTTTATTGAGTGGTAATTTACTAAAAAAGAAAAGAAAGTGAAAGAAATTGTATAGGAAAAATAAAAGTAATGAGAAAAAGCAAGACAGTCATTTAATTTCTGCACTGACCATTTCCAATCACACTCTGAGTCATTCACTTTGCATCAGGAGATGGATATTCAATGCAAAAGGGGACTTCCAAACCCTCCTGATGAAAAGACCAGATTAACAGAAAATTTGACCTTCAAATACAAGACTCAAGAGAGGCATAAACTTTCCCCCTTTTCCCTTCTTTGTTAGTGCTCTCTCCCCTTTTCAATTAAACATATATTTCATTACTTATATGTAGATATGCCCATACACACAAACACATACACTGCAGACTATAAGACCTTTGAAGGCAGTTTTGTCAGTTTTTTAATACATAATGTCTAGCATAGTGACTTACACATAATAGGTACTTAATAAATGTTTATTGAATTGAAAAAAAGAGATGCATAAAAAGATAAACATGAAAGAAAATATAACATGTTACTAATAAGAACAGATTGTTTACATCCCTACAAGGGAAGATGACACTTGTAACTCTTGAAAACTGTATTGTTATTATGCCGTTTAAAAGGGATATACATAGACAGAGAACATAGGTAGAAGTTGACTTTGATGTGATGGTAAAATTCTAATTCAGTGGTGGAAAGGGATTGTACTAGGAGAAGAGGAAAGGAAGAGGCAGGAAGTATATATCATATTACATGACGAGGCACAGAAACCTTTTCCAGTAGAGGAAAAGAAGGGAGGGAGATGAGCATTGTTTGAACCTTACTCTCATCAGATTAGGCTCAAAGAGGAAACAACATAATCAGTTAAGTACAGAACTCTAACTTGCCCTATAGGAAGTAGGAGGAGAATGGGGAAAGAAAAGGGATGGAAGAAGTAGTAAGGTTAAAAGGGAAGACAAAGGAGGAGACTGATAGACAGGAGGACAGATTGAGGGAGGTGGTAGCCAAAAGCAGAATTCTCGTGAGGAGAGAAAGGAAGAAAGAAGAGAGAAAAGCATAAATGGGAGGTGATAATAGAATGGAGAGAAAGACACATATAGTCATAACTGTGAATATGAATGGGATGAACTCTCCCGTAAAACAGAAGCGGATAGCAGAATGGATTAAAAACCATAATCCTACAATATGGTGTTTACAAGAAACATATTTGAAGCAGAAGGATGCACACAGGGTAAAGGTAAAGGGCTGGAGCAGAATATATTATGCTTCAGCTGAAGTAAAAAAAAAAAAGCAGGTGTAGCAATCCTGATCTCAGACAAAGCAAAAGCAAAACTAGATGCTAATTCAAAGACATAAGGAAGGAAATTACATCCTGCTAAAAGCCACCATAGACAATGAAGTAATATCATTAGTAAATGTATATGCACCAAAGGGTATAGCATCCAAATTCTTAGAGGAGAAGTTCAGGGAGATATAGACAGCAAAATTATACTAGTGGAAGACCTCAACCTTCCCCTCTCTGAACTAGATAAATCTAACCACAAAATAAACAAGAAAGAAGTTAAGGAGGTGAATAGAACATTAGAAAAGTTAGGTATGATAGACCTCTGGAGAAAATTGAATGGAGATAGAAAGGAACATACATTTTTCTTGGCAGTACATGGCACATACATAAAAATTCACCATGTATTAGGGCATAAAAACCTCACAATCCAATGCAGAAAGACAGAAATATTGAATGCATCCTTTTCAGATCATGATGCAATAAAAATTACATGTAATAATGGGCCATGGAAAGACAGACTAAAAATTAATTGGAAACTAAATAATCTAATCCTAAAGAATGAATGGGTCAAACAACAAATCAAAGAAACAATCAATAACTTCACCCAAGAGAATGACAATAATGAGACAACATACCAAAACTTTAGGGATGCAGTGAAAGCAGTTCTTAAGGGAAGTTTTATATCTCTAAATGCTTACATGAATAAAATAGGAAAAGAGGAGATCAGTGAATTGGTCATGCAGCTAAAAAAGCTAGAAAAAGAACAAATTGAAAATCCCAAATTAAATACCAAATCAGAAATTCTGAAAACCAAAGGAGAGATTAATAAAACTGAAATTAAGCCAACTATTGAACTAGTAAATGAAACTAAGAGCTAGAAAAAGCAATAAAATAGACAAACCTTCAGACTCTTTAGCACAGTGGATAAAGTTTGCTCACTTTTGGATACTTGATTCAGAACCCAGCAAACTGCTTTTGGTCCATTTACCCTTAGGCCCCTTTCTCTGCCTAGCCCTGTTTTGTTCCTTTCCTTGTACAGCTCTTTTGAATTCTGAACATTATTACTAAGTCAATATTAACAAATGATCCTAATCACTGTGCATTTATTTTGTATATATTTTCTTCTTACTTATTTGGGAACATATCAGCTCTTTGAAAGCAGGGACTTTTTTTTTTAATTTGCATTCTAGAAAAATGCTTAAGATTCATGTCCATTGTTTGACTGACTACAAGACAGACAGACAGACAGAGACAGTGACTGTCTTTAAACTTCAGTGATTTGGATTCAGATTTATATTTACATCTCTTTCTTTTTTTTCAAAACTTACTTCCAGCTGTTGATGGCTCATGGATGAGAGGGCTTCCATATCCAAAGGAATAAATGGAGGCTCAGAGCTGAAAGTGACAGTAGGCAAAGTGAAACGCAGAGTCAGGCCCTACGAAACAAAAAAGGAGACAAAAATACTCTCAAATATTAAGGCTTGGAACAAGCAATTTGATACCACTTATTATGTTGAAGAATTGTTGATGTCTATAGCTAGAAAATTATTGTCACACAAACAAAACTACCTGCATTTTCATATATGTAAAGTGATAAATGTGACAACTACAGTGTACTAAGCACAAGGCAAATCTGAATAAACAAAGGAAGAAGAAAAGAACATATATATGCAAAACTATAGTCACATTTTGATATCTCCATGGGTTTCCTCATTAGCTTGGTAGGACCACTTGAAAGGTCAAGATAAGTCTGTCAAGGTCTGCTTGTCAGCTCATTTGTCAACCAATGACATTCTGTATTTTGTTTAGAAAGACCCATCCTCAACCAGAGGATCAAGGTCAAGATCTATCAACCAATAAGACTATTGTACTGTGTCTCTTCTATATAAGCTGGGTATTAAGCACTGTAAAACTAAGACCATGGAGGAAGGGAGCATCTTAGATCATGAGGAAGATTCTGAGGTCCACTTCATTAGAGGGGGCCATAGACCCTAAGTAAAGTGCTATTGGCTTGGAACTCTGCCACAGTTTCTTTTATTGTAGATTGGACAATTTTGGACCCCACGATGTTTGGTTAAGAAAGGGGAGGAAGATTTAAGGCAATAGCTTGAGAGGATAGTAGGAGGTGTTTTAAGTATGGGCAAGACCAGAATACATTTGAAGGTGGGAAGGAAAGAACCTGTTGGTAGAGGGAAGCTGAAAATTGGAGTGGGGGAGAAGTGAAGAAAGCTGTAATCTGCTGGAAAATATGGGAGAGCATAGGCACAGATGCATATGTAAAGGAATTGACATTAACAACAAGTAAAGCTGTATCCTTAGAGCTAGGGAACGACCATAGAGACTGCGGCTCACAAGATTGTGGAACTCCTAGATAAGGCAAATTCCCAGGAAAACACCTTCTCTGTAATTTATAGATCTTTAAGATGGTTGTAAAGAGTATAGAGAGATTAAATGATTTGTCTAGGGTTAAATAGTTGTAATATGACAGAAGTATTATTTGAACCCAAGTCTTCTTGGCTTCAAGGTCAGCTTTCCAGGATACTTCTCATTCTGAGGTCTGAGTATTAAAATAGGTAAATTCTACTATACATGTTTTTAACAATGCTATATAGTTTTGAATATACCATAAAGGAATTAAGTGACTCAACATTATTTTCTGCTTCATATTCTGCCCATGCTGCTTTTCTTTCCTCCTCAGTCAGTTCTTCTTCTTCTTTATGGTCCAAAAGAGAATCATGTTCGTGATATCCTATGACATATGCTTTATGTATTCGAAGCAATTCTGCAAGGATTGTGTCCTGTTTAAAAAAAAAAGATAAATTAGCATTAAATCTAAGAACCAGAGCATGTTTTCTTGACAACATGCAGGTCAGCCTTAAATATCTCATTTTTTAATTTGGCTTTATTTTGAGACAGTCAGTGTAAGAAAAAGAGCAACAGAATCAGAAGAAGTAGATTCGTGCTATGGGCTTTATTATTCTGAGAGAATTATTTATTCTCTCATTCTTGATTCCTCATTTGTAAAATAGGGGCTTATTTACCTTCACCCTTCTCATCTGTAAAATGGGGACAGTAATGCCTATAATACCCAGTTTCAGTGTGCATTTCAACTAATAAGTCATTAGATGTTTATTAAATGTCTTGTAAGTGTAAAGCACTAAGGATTCAAATTTTAAAAAATACATGCTGTAAAACAGCTTGCATTTAGAAAAACAATTTCATTGATTCTTTTGAGTTTTCTACCAGAGATTTCCAAAAAAAAAAAAAACCAGCAGCTTGCTAAAGGAGACCCAAAAGAATAGTGAAAAAAATAACTCCTTTAAAAATAGCCTAACCCACATGGCAAAAGTGGTCCAAAAAGCCAATGAGGAGAATGTCTTAGAAAGCAGAATTGGCCAAATGGAAAAGGAAGTCTGAAAGGTCACTGAAGAAAACACTTCCTTCAAAATTAGAGTGAAAAAAAAATTAGAGTGGAGCAACTGGAAGCTAATGACTTCATGAGAAATCAAGAAATAATAAAACAAAACCAAAAGAACAAAAAATTAGAAGAAAATGTGAACTATTTCATTGGAAAAATAAGTGACCTGGAAAATAGATTTAGGAGAGATAATTTAAAAAGTATGGGACTACCTGAAAGTCATAATAATAATAAAAAAAAAAGTCCAGACATCATCTTTCAAGAAATTATCCCCAACTGCCTCACCAAAAATAAATAAATAAATAAATGTGTGTGTGTGTGTGTGTGTGTGTGTGTGTGTGTGTGTGTGTGTGTGTATAATCAAGGAAAACTGCCCTGAGATTCTAGAACCAGAGGGTAAAACAGAAATTAAAAGAATCCACCGATCACCTCCTGAAAGAGATCCCCAAAGGAAAACTACCAGGAATATTGTAGCCAAATTTCAGATTTCCCAAGTCAAGGAGAAAATATTGCAAGCAGCCAGAAAGAAACAATTCTGCAAACACAATCAAGATAATACAAGATTTAGCAGCTTCTACTTTAAGGAATGGAAGGCTTGGAAATATAATATTCTGAAGGTCAAAGGAGCTAGGCTTAAAAACCAAGAATCACCTACCCAGCAAAACCGAGTATAATCCTTCAGGGTCCTTTCCAAGGAATATTGTCTTCACATGATTTGCCCAGGGTCACACAGCTAATGTCTAAGGCTGGATTTAAACTCAGGACTTCCTGATTCCGTTACTGTGTAATGTTTTTGTGGTTATACTACTGTGTGTAGCAATAACAGCTCATATTTATATAACACTTTACAATTTACTAAATACTTTCTTTATAGTGAAGCAGCTTGGCATAATGGACAGATAACAGGTCTTAGAACTAAGACCGGGATAAAAGTCCCATGTGTGACTCTGGGTAAGTTATATAGTTTCTCAGTGTGCCAAGCAACTCTCCAAGATAATGAATTTCAGACACAGTTTAATTATTTACATTAACCTGTAGATTCAGTAATATAAATATTAACTTTTACCATTTTGCTGAAGAAATTCAAGCTTTCTTTAAAATCTGCAACTAATTTTCACAACATGAAAACTATGGAAGTGTTTTGCATAACTACCCATGTATAACCTGTATCGAGTTGCTTGCCATCTCAGTGAGGGTGGGTGGGGAGGGAGGAAGGGAAAGAATTTGGAGCCCAAAGCTTTAAAAACAAATGTTAAAAATTGTTTTTACGTGCAACTGGGAAATAAGATATACAGGCAATGGGGTATAGCAATCCATCCTGCCCCACAGGAAAAATAAAAGGGGAAGGGGATAAAAGAAGGGGGGGTTGATAGAAGGGAGGGAAGATTAGGAGAAGGGGCATTCAGAATGCATGCTGTCTTGGGGTGGAGGGAGGGGCATGATGGGGAGAAAATTTGGAACTGAAAGTCTTGTGGAAATGAATGTTGAAAACTAAAACTAAATTAATTTTTTAAAAATCTCCAACTAAATTATTATGATTACTTTTAAAATTATTCATAAAAAGATCTCTTTTATACTAGGCTTAATTATAATTAAATTATCATATATACTTTTGGCAGCATAGGAGCGTCCTTCTTTTTCTTCTTTTCTGAATTAGGATCATCTAGTAAGTCTGGCTCAAATGCATAAAGTTCAGTCAGTTCATTCAAAGTAAAATGGCGTTCAACTTGCTGTTGATCAATTACTCGAAAAGAGAGTGATTGCTTGGTTACTTGACGTTCATAGATCTTATCTTCCATAGTTCCCTGTATAAGAATTAGAACCCATAATTAGATAACATATGCACATGTCACCACTATGAAATTTTACTTCAAAGATTTTGGTTTTGCATAGCCAGTGCTTGATAACTTGAATCCACAACACCAGATGTAATTCTTTTCAATTACTGTTAGTCTCCTTTGTGGGCTCCATCATTAATATCATGCCAGTTAACCACTGGTGTCCCCAAAGTTTGATTTTAAGCCCTTTTCTCTTTTCCCTCCCTATTTTTCCTTTTGGTAATCACTTTTTACCATCATCTCTATGCTGATGACTTCCAGATTTTCAAACTGAATGTCCTATAGAAACCTTACAGTAAACATATACAAAACTGAACTCACTGTCTTTCCCCTTAAACCTTTTGTTCTTTCACACTTCTCTAATACTGTTTAAGATGCCACCATCTTCCAATCTCCCAGCTTTGGGATTTCAGTATTATCCTCAATCTTCCTTACTGTACAGATGCAAATCTTGTCAAAGACTGTCACTTCTATCTTTACAAACATCTCCCACATTTAACTTTCTTTCTGTTCACACAACTACCACCTTAATTTAGGCCCTCACAGCCTCTTTTCTGAATGACTACAATGGCCTAATTGGTCTCTCTGACTCCATAGATTACATCCTATTCCATTCTTCCATTTACTGCTGCGAAAGTGACTTTCCAGTATTTTCTTTTTCAAACTATCTGGTAATTAACTTTTGCATATAAAAACACATAAGGCTAACCAAGTCCTTTAAGCATCAACAATCCACTTTGCTGACTCATTCAGATATTGGGAGAATCTGCTTGCAGAAATATAAGCTGATGTATAATGATGAGGCCTCAGAGAGCCATTTTTTACGCATTTGCAGGCATTCAGTGACTTTCCTATGAGCTGACTGCATGATGATGGAGAGTCTTTTAGTTGGCTACTAAGTCAGAACTAATTGTATATACAAAATTCTCTAACAGAGGAAGTTGAGCTATCTCTCCATGGAGGCTTCTGAATGAGGAAGAACTTCTATAAACTTCTGGGTGATAAAAAGCATGAACAATTTGGTGGCTGTATTCTTCAAGCAATGCCAACATACGGCTACAAATATATATGGCACTTTGATTTCTTTGCCTCATTGGATTTCTTCTTTCCTCATTGCAGGTCAACCAATGTCAGAGTTTCAAACAGTTGGAGAAGATCCATGTAAAAGCCTTAGCTGGGAGTACACTACCTGAAACTGCCAGCATAGCCTTCAGGAGTGACATGCATGATGTCCACATAACATTGGATAGTAGCTCAGTTAGAAGATAGAGCAGTAGATTTTTATGGGGATTTGCTAGTAGATGGCATTAATAAAGTATGATATACACATACATACATACATATATATATATATATATATATATATACATATATATGTATATACGTATATATACATATACACACACACACACACACACATATATATATATATATATATACACACACACACACACACACACACATACATGCGTATATTTATTCACTTTTTATTCCTAAAGCATAGGTCTACTTGTCATACCCCCCTACTCAATAAACTCTAGTAATTCCTTATTATCTCTAGGATAAAATCCTACAACTTAAGTTCGTATCTATCTTCTTAGGCTTAACTCCCTTCCACTTACATTGATTGAGTGACAATGACCTTCTTGTCATTGCTCACACATGATTCCATTTCCCAATCAAGTGCCTTTTTGCTGGCTGGAATGTTCACCTTTCTTGTCTCTAAAGCTTCCTTTCTTTCCTGAAGTTTCAATTTACTTCTGAAAGAAGCCTTTTCTAGACCCTCTCAATGCTGACTGCTTTTGGTATACTCTATATATCTCAAACAACAGAGCTGTTTGCATGCTGTGAGGTCAGTAAGAGAAGCAACTGTTTTTGCTTTTCTTTGAAATCCCAATACTTAATACAATGACTGGCAAATATATTGATATGTGTGTGTATATCTGTTTATATATACATATACATGTATGATATTAATTAGGGGAGGGGAATTACTTGACCAATGAACATATTTTGACATGGCCTAGTCTGCTCAAGGAAAATACTAAAGTTGATTGTATGTAAAGAATGAAATGCCATTTTACTTACCTATAATTGCTCACCAGTTTCAAACTTTTGCTTGTACTTTCAATTTATTATATGAAAAGTTGAAACTTACCTGAGCTAAAAACCTGTATACAAAGACTGGTTTATTTTGACCAAAGCGATAAACCCTGAATATGCTCTGAATATCATAGGACGGATTCCAAGAGGCATCAAAGATGATTACTCGATTAGCAGCTACCAGATTAATGCCAACTGAACCTGCTTTGCTGGAAATAATGAAGAGGCGGCCCCTACAAATTTAAAAAGAAAAAAGTAATTAGTCTAATAAAAGATTATTCTTATAAAATTAACAAATTTGCCATGAAATATTGCCTTTAGGAGTAAGAAAATATGTAGGTACATTTGCCACACACCAGAAACAGAAGCATGTAGCCAAGTAATCTAGGCAGACAAAGTATTTCAAGTAGCAATAACTTATCAAAATATGAAGGGAAAAGCACACTGACATTTAACCAATAATCTCTGATTAACTTATTTTACTTATTTATTCAATTAAGAAACATGTACTTTCTTTCTTCCAGTACCTTAAACCCCTAAATTAAAAAGGGGAAAAATGAAAGAAACAGAAAACTCTTGTCACAAACATGCAGACAAACAAAAGAAATTTCCCTATAGATTAAATCCAAGGAAAAAAATGCATGTCTTATTCTGCATCTTGAGTCTGGAGACTATTATATCTCTCTATCAGAAGGTAGACAGCAAATAATTGGTCCTTGGAATCACAGAAGAACAAGCCAAAAATTAAAGTACTTAAGGCTTTTGAAAAGTTGTTTGTCTTGACAGAAATGTTATTCTTATTGTAAAAATTGCTACCATTGCACAGTGGGTAAAGACCCTGCCCTGGAGTTAGGAGAACCTGAGTTCAAATCCAGTCTCAGACCAGGCATTTGACACTTATTCATTGTGTGACCCTGAGCAAGCCACTCAACCCCAATTACCACAAAAAAAAAAGAAAGAAAGAAAGGAAGAAAGAAAGAAAGAAAGAAAGAAAGAAAGAAAGAAAGAAAGAAAGAAAGAAAAGAAAAGAAAAAGAAAAATTGCTACCATTGTTCTACTCACTTTATTCAGCATTGAGTTCATACCAGTCTTCCCAAGTTTCTCTTTAAACATTCCCTTTCATTTCTTATAGAATAGTACAGTATCAAAAGCACATACCATAATTTCTCTGGCCGTTCCCCAATGTATACACACCATTCTAAGTTTCCAGTTCTCTGTCACTAGAAAAAGAACTGCTACAAATATAAATATTTTTAGATACAGAGATCCTTTCCCTTTCTTTGATCTCTCTGGGTTATTATCAGCATAGTGGTGGTACTGTTAAATCAAAGTGTTTGCAGAATTTAGTCACTTTTTCATGACATTTTCCTATTCCATTTTTTAGCTACTAATTCTTTACAGATTTCAAGAATGGCTAAATGAAATCACAGCTCTAGCAGCAGTGCTATAATGTTTCTGTTTTTCCACATTCCTTCCAACGTTTGTCATTTTCTTTTGTCTATTAATCTTTGCCAATCTAATGGGTATAGGATAGAAACTTGTAATTCTTTTAATTTACATTTCTTTAACTATTATTGAGGCAGGAAGTTTTATATGGATTTTGATAACCTGGATTTATTCCGATTCATTACTGATGAATCAAAAAGTCAGATTTGTAATTTATTACATGAAATGATTGAGAGAAGATAATAAAACCAGATGACTAGAGAATTTCAAAATAGAATTTGAAAAGAAAATGCTAGATTACAGGGATTTTAACAAAAACCGAGAAGGGGGAAATAATAAGAAAACAGTTTTCTAGTTGGGGGTATATCTGTATTGACTAAAAAGTTTTCAAGAAATATGCACTGGATGCCAAATAAAATCAGTAACAAAATCACTTTGAAGATAACAAAGAAAGAAAGCAGCCCCTATAAACTGGTAATGATCTGCAACATAAATGAGGAAAGAAAATCTAAAAGTACCCACCTCACATTAGTTTCATCATTAAACTCTTTAGCCCATTTCTTTCTTGCCTGTGCACTTGTAGAACCATCCAAACGATAATAATCAATGTTTCGAAACCATTTTCCTTCACCTACATATTAAATAGTAAAAATGGGTCTATTATATTATAATCTAGCACTAGAATGTTTAGTTCCTTAATAAACATACCTTGCACATACACACAAAATCAAGTTTCATTAAATATTTAATTCTACTTAAAAACCACTTTTCAAATTTGAAAATTACTCATATAAATGCTACATAGCAAAAATGCATAGCAAAATAGATACTCTAAATAAAATTTAAAATTTACTCAATTATTTACTTAATTGATGGTCATTTAGCTGGTCACTTATTAATTTCTGTGATATTCTTGACCTTTTGTTCTTCCAGATGCATATTATTTTTTTTTCTAGCTCTACAAAATAGATATTTTGTAGTTTGATTGGGATGGCACTGAATATGTAAATTAATTTAGGTAGAACTGTTATTTTTTATTATATTGACTTGGACTACCCATGAGCAATTAGGATTTTTCCAGTTGTTTAGATCTGACTTTATTTGGGTGAAAAGTGTTTTCTAATTGTGTTCAAATAGTTCCTAGGTTTGTCTTGGCAGGTAGATTTTCAAGTATTTTATATTGTTGAGTTATTTTAAATGGAATTTCTCTATCTCTTTCTGTTAGTAATATATAGAAATGCAAATGATTTATGTGGGTTTACTTTATATCCTGCAACTTTGCTAAAACTGTTAATTATTGTTAATTATTTCAAGTAGTTTTTTAGTTGATTCTCCAAGTATACCAACATATCATCTGCAAAGAGTGGTAGTTTCGCTTTCTCATTGTTTATTCTAATATTCTAATTCCTTTAATTTTTTTTCTTATATTATTGCAAGGCTATCATTTTTAGGACAATATTGAATAATAGTGATTTTAACGGCTAGCCTTGCTTCACTCCTAATATTGCTGGGAAGGCTTCTAGCTTATCTTCTTTACAGATAACACTTGATGATTGTTTTAGATAGTTACTACTTTGTTTAAGAAAAGCTCCATTTATTCCTATACTCTTTAATGTTTTTAATAGAAATAGATGTTGTATTTTGTCAAAACTTTTTCTGCATTTATTGAGATAATCGTAAGATTTCTGTTTGTTTTGTTATTGATATGGTCAGTTATGCTGCTAGTTTTTCCGATGTTGAACCAGCCTTGCATTCCTGGTATAAATTCCACCTGCTCACAGTGTAAAATCCTTGTGATATATTGCTATAACTTCCTTCCAAGTACTTTATTTCAAATATTTGAATGAATATTCATCAAGGAAATTGGTCTAGAGTTTTCTTTCTCTGTTTTGGCCCTTCCCTGTTTAGGTATATTTGTGTCAAAAGTATTTTTTAAGGACTCCTTTTTTGTCTATTTTTTTTCAAATAGTTTATATATTTTTGGAAATAATTGTTCTTTAAATGTTTGGTAGAATTTACTTGTGAATCCATCTGGACTTAGGAGATTATTGATGTTTTGTTCATTTTTTTTCTTAAATGGAGCATGTTCTATTTTCTTTTCTGTTAGTCTGGCAATTTTATTTTTATAAATATTCATCCATTTCACTTAGATTGTCAGACTTGTTGGCATATAATTGGGCAAAAGCACTCCTACTAATTGTTTTAATTTAATTTCATATTCATTAGTGCTATATTCACCCTTTTTATTTTTAATACTGGTAATTTGGTTCTCTTTTTTTAAATCAAATTAACCACTGGTTTATCTATTATGTGATCTATTTTTTTCTTTTTTATTTTCTCACAAAACCAGCTCCTAGGTTTTTTTTATTAGTTTAATAGTTTTCTTTACTGATATCAAAACTTTTTTTTTCAGAAATTCAGCATTAAAGGGTGGACTTACCTTTATAAATTCGAGGCTTGTCTTTATCATCTGATATTTCCTTATTTCCCAATTCAAGAAAATCTTCAATCAAGTCCAGAGATATGAGAGATTGGCTAAACACCAGCCTGGGAAGAAAAAAAAGTGCTGTTTATTGAAATTGCTGTCTAAAAATTCCTTGTCATGATCCTTATTCTCCTTTAATATGCTATCATATTTTGTTGGTGTTGCACTTACATATAATGACATATATATTACATTTATATATAATGACATATAAACCAGAATTCTACAAAAGCAGCAAAGACCTAATGAACAAGGGACTTCATTAGAAGGATTTGGGAGGAACTGCCTTATCAAGCACAACCTAGGACAACATGAGTAATCAACTGGAAACAATGTGGCCTAATTTCAGTTTAAAAAAAATATAATAAAGTAAATTTAGTCTGCCATAAACTTTTATTTTGTATTTCAGTTTAGTGAAAGCTAAAGACATCCAATTCCAAATATTAAGTATTGAATAATGTCAGCAACATATTGGAAAGAGTGTCAGACTTGGAATTAGGAGACCACAGTTTGAAACCAAACTCTATTTACTTCTTTGTTTTATTTTGTTATTTTTTTTTCCAGATGAAATCTATAACACTATTAACTAATGCTGATTACCATGGATACGTTATAAATAATTTCATTGATTTGGTAGGAAGTAGTACATTGCGCTTAATATTAAATTTAGTTCAATTTTCTCTCCCTTGGACTTACTCTTCCTTCTTTTTATTTAAGCAATATCAGCTTTGTGCAAAACACTGTGCTGATTAAGTGCTATGGAGACTAAAAAAGCACATGTGAAACATGGTTCTTAAAAGTGATGGGCTCCAGTTCTTCGAATATTTTTATAAAGGAGACTAACTTATAACTAAAACTGTTTTTAAAAAGTCCATTTTTCGTATTCTCTGGCCATTAAGTAAGACTTTAACAGACATAGCTGCCTAAGGATGGGTGTTAATTTCTCTGAGAAGTATTTGAGACAGCAAACAAGAATTACCTCTCACCAAAATGAGCTTTCTTTAGAAGACAGAAATATAGAAAATCAAATCCAAATTTGAAATATGCTACTAGAAGAATAAGTAATTTAATTTAATCACACTGGGATGAATACAAATCCATTTTTTCAAGAAGTATATTATATTACTCACACTTTATCCCCAAGTTCCTCGGCCATTTTAAGAATTTCAAAAAGAAGTACCATTTTTCCAGAATGTTCCAACACTTTAGCATCAGAATCCGTAATAAAATCTTTGTACCACCTTGGAGAAGTGCTGCCTGGATTTGAAAAGTATGTTGTTCTTCCTAAAATACAATACAATACAAATAAAGAGACAGTGTTAAGTTTTAAAAACATAACTTTCTTAGCATTCTGAAAACTAAAAGCATATTTGGAATTTATAAAAATCAGAAATAATTCTTAATCACTGGGATATTACTAGGATAGTCAATATAATTATAATTTCAATATAGTTCATATATTTACTGTTCAGTCATTCATGTGTGCTGATTCTTTGTGACCCTATGGATGATAATGTCCATGGGGATTTATTGGCAAGTATATTAAAGTGGTTTGCCATTTCCTTCTTCAGTGGATTAAGGCAAATAGAGATTGTCTTGCCTGGCATCACACAGCAATTAAGTGCCTGAAGTTGGATTTAAACCCAGGTCTTCCTGACTCTAAGCATACTCTCTCCCCTGAGCCACCTTATATATACTTGTATCTATTTCTGAATCAGGATGATAGACCATAATTTTTTTTTGGCTTAATTCTTTTTAGTATCTTGAGAATAAGGCAATAAAATGTATGCACTTATTTATCTATATATATCCCAAAGTTTACTAAGAATATATTATTTACAAAGCCTACTGAGCACTTAGAAAAATGTGAAAAAGACATTGCTAGTTTGGAAAAACTAAAAATGATCATAATTTGTAAATAATAATTAGTGCTATGGACATATCATATCATATCATATCATAGGAGCAAAATGAGAATGTTTTAATAACTGTATTTTGATATATCTATGTCAAAAAATTTCAAGGGCTTTTCATTTAGCTCCTTTTTTTTTTTAAATTAAGAGATACAGGAAAAAAACATTCCTGTCAAAAATGAAAGTAGATTTAGCGTGAAACTATAAAATTTTCTTTCGTTATAAAACTCTTTCCTTGACTTCCATGTCTATACCACATTGGTTCTTTTTCTCCACTATCTGTTTTCTATATTCCTAAACTCTATTGAAAGTTTGTAGCTGGAGTCCAAATATGCTTGTAAGATTTCCTGAGAAGTATTAACAGTAATAATAATGTTAAAAGAAGTTCTAAAATTAAGTTAGAAGTAGTAGCCTTCATAAGCAGTTAGGTACTAATATTGATAGACTTAACCCTTCTCAGCAATACAAGTATCTAAGACATCTCCAAAGGCATCATGATGGAAAATGCTATCCACATAGGAAGAAAGAACTATGGAGTTTGAATGCACATCGAAGCATACTATTTGCTATTTTTTTCTTCTGTTGTGTTTTATTTCCTCTTCCTGGTAGTTCCTCCTATTGGTTCTAATTCTTACAACATCACTAATGTAAAAATATGTTTAATAGGAATGTATATGTATAGTCTATATCAGATTGTGCGCCGTCTTGGGGAGGGAGATGGGGAGGGAGAGGGAGAAAAATTTAAAACTCAAAAACTTATGGAAGTGATTGTTGATAAATGAAAACAAATTAATAAAATGTAAAAAAGAGAAAGAAAGAAAGAAAAGTCCACTTCTTATATATAGTCCATGATTCAATAGGCGTGACGCACTTCAAATCTTTTAAGAAAATTATATTCCAATGACTCATAGCCACATACCGTCACCAAAAGTAAATAATTGTTGAAAAAAATAAGAACTTAACCCGTGAAAGAGACTGCTGTCATTACACTGCACAATTTCAAAAAGGCAAATCAAGTCACTCTACTTTCCTACTCTTCAAATCTATGCCTAGTTTTTTGTTCAGTATCTGTCTAATATGTAAGTGCTAACTGACATACTCCAACTGTATAATTGTATAATTGAAGCCTAAACAACAGATATTCTCCGTCTACTAGATTTTTCTTGTGGATAGTTAAGCGAGACTCTTGAGAAAATACGGATCCCATTTAGGTGGCTCTGAAATGTTTTGGTGCTTGATGTAATGATGTCGCTCACAAAAAGGTACAGCTGGAGAATTTTATCAAAGAAATCCCATCAGGACTCTCGTTGGATATCCTCCAGGTTAGTGGCAAAGACCTGGGAAACATTCATCTGTTTTATATGTTGCCTAATGTGAAACACTCACTGTAGAAATTTATTTTCGATGTCAGATCTATCAATGAGTCTTGTGATATGGCCACAAAAACAAGAGAGATTCTTTGTTAGATCAGTCTTCAAAGCTGCAATATGTTTTACTGAATCAAATATTTTCAATAAATCATTGCTGTACCTTCTGTTCTTCTTTTATTCATGCAAGAAAAAAGAAGAGATTATATTTGCAAAACTCTGCCTATTTCCTTCACATACCATTAGCAAGGAGAGCGTTAATGTATGTAAATTATTCTCATAAAGGTTTTGTTAAGATGAGAAAAGAAGGAGGACAGCAGTTGGTGATATATTCTTGGTAACTTGTTTTCAGAATAATAAAGTCCATAATCATTTTATCAAGCATTTGTATTTTTCTTTCTTTCAGATACTTTGAAAATCAATCCTTTAGCGTCTTTAACCTGTGTCACTCTAGGATAAATATATCTGAAGTTCTGCCTATCATGTGTTCTCTTTTGTGCCATTTCACTTGGAATCATGGGAAAGAAAAGTGTCTGTTAAATCTCACAGAGACTGTTATTTTTGTTCATTTATTATATGCTTTTCAATTTAATTGCTAGAAGCCTTTATGATGGTCCTTCGTGTGATTTAGTTTATTCACTTGTTCTTCCCACTGAAATTTCTAGAAACATTCGCTTACGTATTACCTAAGAAGCTCTATGTTTTAGAAAGTAAAATACAGGAAAAAATATATCCTATATTAATGTACACTATATATAAATACACAACAGAAATGAAGTTTTGTTACTTTTAAGCTCAAAGAATGTGGAATAATCTAATAAGGTCTAAGCAAAATGGTATTCTAATCCTTTAAAAATTAACAGGCTAAATAATTTCATTAATAGATGCCGGGTAAATAAATACTACTAAGGGTATTGAAATATTAACATTTAAAAAATCTTTAATTAAATCTTTACACAACTTACCTAGAAAATAAATCTGTTTTTTAAATTAAGGTCAAAGTACCCTACTCAATCTCAATGATCTAAACTACAGACTTAGTAGGTTCTGAAATGATGAAATCTTAATGTAAACTGTAATGTGACTTTACATTTTGTCAATAATAAACCCACTGCTTCACCTGCCAAGAAATTCACCTAACCCTAAGTAAATAGCTGATATCATATTACCAATATTTTTTGATCCTTACATAAATACAAAAGTTTACTTCTACATTAGACTCACTTTTTTCTTTTTTTACCATCACAGATGAAATGCTGGCCAGCTCATCCTTATGCCCTTCACCACCACCTCTGGATCTTGAATTCCATACTTTAATTACTTCTGCATCCTCATGTCCACCTGAGCTAGTTCTTTTTTTCCCTTTGAACTTTTTTTTCCTAGAAAAGATTATGAATTAAAAAAAAATTTGAATCTGTAATATAGGGCTAATTATAAAGTAAACCAAAAAAATTTCTCATGTAAAATTACAGAAATGTTCCTATATTTCCTTCCAGGCTTAAATGCTAGATTTTTCCATGATACTATCAAAAAAAAAGTTTGGCTTATTTAACATTACATCATCCCAAATAAGCAGGGCAGCGCTTTTTTTAGAAAAATTAAGTTTAAAATGAATATTTAAATTTAAAATAAATATTTTTCTGGTAAAATACTGATATTTTAATTCAGAAAATATATATTTCTGGAAAATGCACAAATTTTAGCTTTGTAAAGGACTTAAATGGGGCACTGCTCATTTTACAGAAAATTTAAACTTTAATACAATATTTTATAGATTCAAAAGAACATAGGTTGAAAAATGTTAAAAAGTTTAAAAATATTAAGTCATTATTTCTACTCTTCTGTAAGTTCTCTGATTTCCTTCAATTGTTAATTTTTAAAATTCCAAGAAAAATAAGGAGACTAGAAAAACAAAAAAGGAAACAATCAAGATATCTTCAACTTCTAAGTGCAAATTCTATGATCTATATGCATATGAGTATCAGTACATATAAATGTATATATGTGTATGTATGCATATGTACATACATATATTATGTGTATAATACATGACAATTTATGAACTATAATAGTGAGAATATACACATATGCGGATCTTCTTTCCTAACTAATAAATGTTAGAGCAAAATTTAATATGATAAGCTATTACATGAAAATGATAGCTATTTTTAATTTTATTACATTACTATTACTATTTATGGAAGTTTGAAATGAAAAAATACACAGCATATTTATACAAAGAAAGATTCTATTTACTTAGGATAATCATCTGAACTTAAACTCAGTGAGGTTTCATCAGAATCTGATGGTATGAATTCATTCATCCTGTCTTCCTCAAAATACCCCTGAAAGGAAAAAAAAATAATTAAAAAAATTTGCTAATCATTACAATTTATCAAACATGTTAAAAGATTTTTTTTTGCTTATTTCTCTTAGTGTAAAGTGCTTAAGGCCTTTGCATTAGTTTCAGTCTCTAACCCCCATCTACATAAGGGACAGTATAGATTATGGGCCGTGGAATCAGGAAGTATTCATTCTACACTATACCTTCAACACTTAGGATCATTGAATAAGAGCTAAAAAGATCCTTAGACACGTTTAGTCTAAACTCAGACTTTTGAAAATCATACAAGTGGCAACTCCAAAATTTGAAAAGACATGGTTGCTGTGCTTTACTGCAATACCACGCTTCCATTCTCCAATGTGTAATCCTGTGTAATTAACTTAATGCCTGTGAACTTCAGTTTTCTCCTCTGTAAGATGGGAGCAATCATATCAGTGGCACTAATCTCGTAAGAGCTAGTCTAAGTTTAAAACGGTGGTCATACATGTGCAGTAATGTATGTGTGCTCTGCAAACCATAAGTTGTCATATAAATATTACTACTAGTACTTCATGCATAATTACACTGCATTAACTCTACTTTCTTATACTTCCTAAAAATTAGAAGATATTATTTGCTATGTTCTGATAACCTGTGTAAAGAAGGGATCAGTACTATCTGACTTTTTTACCCAAGCCCCAGACAAGACTAATACCATAAAATGCAATCAAGTTTTAATGCATTAGCAAGTAGACTAGCTGAACAACCTGCTCCTGTATGGGGGATTTATTATATGAATATCAGAATTTTTAACTTACTTGGGCAACATTTGTTCTTCCCTACATGTGTCTCATTACCATTGCAACCCAGATTTGAGCCTACTCTGTAACCATCACTGTGCGTAAAATATGGCCCTGGAATTGTAGAGGGTTATTTGTTTTAATTACTATGCTATACCATCATAGCAAATGGCTTTCCTACATCTATGTTGGCTGACTGTTAATAATAAACACTATGTAGAGGCTCAACTCTAAAATGTAAGCACAAGCTGAGGAAACAGCCCAACAAATAAAAAGTATTACAGGTAAGGAGTAAGCTGATGAAAATAAACTTTGCATAACCCCTACTTTTCAAATGATTATTCACAAGAAATATTCTAAAATGTTTAGAGAAACTTGGGAGAACTAAACTGAGTGATATAAGAACAGTTTATACAAAGAGGTAAATTAGACAACTATGGAAGACTTAAAAATCCTGATCAATGCAATAGCCAGCTCTTAACTCCACAAATCTCATAATGAATTATACTGAAATGTACTAAAACTATACTGCCCTCTTTTTCAAATAGATGTTGGACTATGGTGCAGAAATAACATTTATGCATGTAGATTCACAGTCAAATATTACACAGTTGAAGAAGTAACATGCTAGTAACTTGGGAATAAAGACTTTGAATATAAGGTTTTGAAAGGAAGAAGTGAGGATTTTTGTGGATGAAATCAGTACATTCTAGACATGTGTATGCAGTGCAAAAGTACAGGGGTTAAAGATGTAATGGTAAGAAAGAAGACTTTCTTGAAACTCAGTGCGTATAACAATTATAATATATGAACATGGAAAATACGTTAGACTTGTTTATAAGGAATTTAAACATCAAATAGTGTAGTATACATTTGATTCTAGGGAAAACAGAGAACTACTTGAGTTTCATGAATGGGGCAGTAATTTAGTTAGACATATTGTTAGGTAAAATACGATATTGGTGATGATGGCCTGAATTGAAATGTTAAATGTAAAAGGTATTTGGAATGCAGATATGCCAACATTTGACATCTACATAGTATGGAGGATAATTAAGAGCTAAAGTTGATGCCAGTGTTACCTGGAAACCAAAAGTAAAAATATTGATACTTTCAATAGTGGTAGTCCAAAAAAAGTAAGACTGGTTTCAGACATGATGAATTTGAAAATTTTCCAGGTTAATTAGTATCAAAAGTCCAGTAGGCAACTGGTGATACTGAAAACTCAGAAGTGAGACTAATATGGGAAACAGGTAATCAAGAGTCTTAGGCAACACTACAGAAGGGTCACAAAGATTGAAGTTTAAGAAAAGACCATTAAGTTTGACAATTAAGAGACTTAGTAATTTCATAGAAAGAAGTTTTGGCTGAATAGTGAAAGACCAGATCACACAGAGTTAAGAAAAGTTAGCAAGAAGGTAGGAAGGACCTATTGTAGGCAGCTCTCTCGAGAAATTTTGCTGCAAAAGGAAAGGATGTGACAATACCTGGCAGGAATAG